GAACAGGTGGAATTTACGCAGCTCATTTACACACTTTTCCTGAAGATAGAAGAGTTTGTTGAATCTGACGTGACATGTTCGTATGAACCCTTTGTACGAACAAAAGTAAGAGAAATTTAGGATAAGAATACTAACATGTTCTTGCATGAGGCCCATTGCCTCTATTCTCATTACATTTAGCACAATGTAATCCTCATTTTGGTGTGTAGAAACAATTCAGTGTATTTATGTGTGCAGTTGAAAGTACAGCATTCTGAACCAAAATGATCACATTAGCAAATAAACCTGATTGGAAAATACATTTTAAAAATGCCAACTATTCTACTGATTTGCCATTAGTTAATCATAAAAGTCATAAAAATATTAACCTTTGACAGTAATTATTATTATTATTATTATTATTATTTGACAGTGTGTTATTAACACACAGTCCTCTGCTGCCTCGTCTCTCCCCGGGCTTCCTGTGAGTGGAGGTGTGCAGTGAGGGGGCTGGACTGCTGTGGGGGCAGTCAGTTCTGTAACTAGTTTCAGCCGGCTGTCAGAACCCATTCAGAGCTTTAGTAATGTTGATTTTATTCGCTCTCCTCTCATTTAGTCCCAAACAGTTCATGATGAAAGCCCAACAAAAGGAATGAATCAGCACACCTCCTGTTTTCTTTTTTTTTTCTATTTTTCACCCAGTTACTGAAAGTTTGTTCTTCAACTATTACATGTTCAGCCCCAGAAATGTCTACAAGGATCAAAAGCGTCAGAACACTCACTAAGCGAACTTTATGGCAAGTCAACCGTTCATGATTTTGTCACTGCTTTTTTCATTCTTTGAACATTTTTGGTAGCTTCAGAGAGCTGCAGACAAAAATATATTTAATTGTAGGCCACCTCAGAGCAGCCAGACTTTCTTACAATTTTTTAAAGAGGCTTTTGTCAAAAGTTCCTCAGGATTTCTGAAGGTCTTTCAAAGTCATTGTTGGAACTTTTGCTTATTTTTTATTTTATTAAATTTTTTGTCAGTCCAGTGCCTGATCATGAGCCATCGTTAACTCAAATAAATCAAAATCAAACGAAAGAAGTAAATAAATTTAGGACAAACGAAAATGGGTCATGTCTAAATTAAAACCTGATCATCAAAATATTTTTAGATATTAGCTCATTAAGGATCTCGTTGGTGCTAAAATATTTGTTTTTTTGTCTCCTACCTGTGATATTTTTCATTTAATGATATTGTGTTTGTGTTGTGTGGAATTTTGTTTTTGTTTTAATTAAATGAAGTAAATAAATATTTTCACAAATTTAAAAAAAACAGACCATGTCGTTGTGGTAAACTCCTGGTAAAGTATCCAAAATTAAAAACAACAATTAAAAAAATTAAAAAAAAAACCATTTTAATTTGTCTGTAATGTGTTGACACTACACAGACTCATCCTTTGAGTTTAGCAGTCTGAATAATTCACCTTAAATATCTTCTGAAAAATGGTCAGCTGTTGGTGAGAAAGTGAGTGAAAAAGCAGCTCAAGTTCAAACATAAAAAATAAAAATAAAAAACTTTGAAAGACCTTCAGTAAACTTGAAGAACTATCGATCCAGACCACTTTAAAAGATTACAAGAACGTCTGGCTCCTTGGAAGCAAAATATACAGAAATGAAAGATGATTTAAAACTTCGTGCACAGGACTTCAGACAGTAACAAAGTAGGTTATTTATTTATGTTAGAAACTACAGTATGTCCAAGAAGCCCTTTACTTCACGACACAACTTTGCTCTTTGTTTAGTTTTAATTCTCAAACTATATAACATTCAAGTTTTTATCTATGGTTTATTCACTATTTTAAATTTTAGCTTGGGCAAAAAAAAATGCACTTCTTGTAGTTTTTACTCTAAACTAAATAAACTTTTTTTTTCTTTTTACTGTTTTTCTTAAATATTTGAACTAGAGCATCCACATAATTTAGATCCCTTTTTGTTCCAGTCAAAAACTGCTTTTAGACTGCAAAGTTTGCTGTAAATCAATGGAAATGACATAATCATCCATTTTACCCAAACTACAAACAGCTATTCAGGTCAGACATTTGTGAACAGACGCCACAATGGTTCCAGTAAAACTCCGGTGCTTACATACTTTCTTTTCTGTTGTTCTTTAAAGGGTGCTCAGATATTTCTTACCTCGTATTAATTTATATCTCATTCATGGTTTATTTCTTCCTTCTTAAAGAAAAGTTAATTTAACGTGAATCAGTTTTGTCCTGCTGGCAGTATGATGCAGATGTTTCCAGCACAAATGACCCAGTCTGAATGACTAACAGTGTGTGAATGAGCTTACATCGGTCCCGGGGAGCCGCCGCCTCGTTGCCGTCAGCCAGCTGCCTGCGCGCTACCTGGGGGCAGAAACAGCTAAGATAAAGCAGACTTACCTTCAGGAAATTGCTGTAATTGAGTGATTAAATGCGATGACGTCAAACAAAAGCTTTTCTTTTGACTGAGTGAAGTTCATTTGCGCGCACACACGTTGGTATGACTGTGACTCACCGGTGCCCTGGCCTTGTGCTTTGTGTTTGGTATCTGTGCTGAGGCAGCCTCTGCAGAAAGTCAAAATGGAGAGTTAAAAAAGCACACACACACACACACACGCACACACACACCACATCAGGTGTAAAACACGCAATAGAGTGGACCTGCCTTTGTCTTTTCCACGCTGGGTCTCCTCCACTTCTAAGCAAACGGCACACCGACTGTCATCCTCGTAAACACCACGAGCGGGATGATGAGCCCTGAAATCATCGAGTTAATTTATGAACGGGGTTTCAAGAGGATTTTCTGACTGGATGCCACCTACCTGCAGAGTCCACAGTCTCTGCAAACACAGCAACATACGCTGAGAGAGACTGTAGGCCCGGATGTCGTCGCTTCCACCGACAGCTCRGCTTTGTTGCTGCAGGGCTTGTTGTGCTTCTCCTCCACATTTCTCCTGACCTGTGGAAACAAGACGGTAACATCACATTAATTCTTCTTACTACTCCACTGTAGAGCTAGAGCAAGGCAAATGTGAAGACAATAAACACAGCATGAGGAAAACGAGGCGTCGCTTTTCAGAATCAGTGTAAAATGCTTTGTTTTTATGTCCTGATGCATCTCAGTAATCCAGGTAAAAAATCAAAAAGAAAAAAATTGTWTAGGTCTTCTGGACGGGTTCTTCTCTAATGAAACGTTTCGTCTCTTCTCCAAGAGACTTCTTCAGTCTGAGAGTTTCAGGCAAAATTCAGGCTTTTAAGCCCTGCCTCCATGTGAGGAGCCCAAAGTGGGGCCCGCGGGCCAAATTTGGCCCGCCAAGCCATTTGATTTGGCCCACCAGCAGTTGAGTAGTTACTAACCTGTAACCTGTTGTTCTTTGTAGAAACTGTATTTCCACTTAGTCTTTTCATCCATTGGCCAAGTGACTAAGTAAGGGACTGTAGTGCAAATAGTTTTCACTCATGTTGTTGACTTTATCTTTGATATATTAAGATTAAACATGAAGCATGAAATACAAGTAACAAGATTTATTTAGATTAGATTTAACCACACATGTAGATTTTTGCACTTTATAAGGCCATAAAAACTCATATTTTATCAATTTATTAAATGTCCCATGAGCTTTTTCTACTTGAGTGTATGACAGACTTTCTCTAAGTTCACAAACTAAAACAAAAATGGGCCACCACACTGGCTGCTAGCTTAATTGTTAAAAATAAAGGACTTTACTTAAAAATATTTGTATTTCATGTATTATATTACTGCATTTGGCCCACAGTCCCCCAATACATTTTCATTTTGGCCCCCTTGAGGAAAATGTTTGGGCGCCCCTGGTTTAATGCATTAAAATAATAACAATAATCTGTTAAAACAGTGTATATGAAAAAAAAATAGGACAGGTTTTCCTTGACTGAAGGTGCAAATGCTACAAGGTGATCGGTTTAATTAGCATTTAATAAATATGTATGGTGTTTGTGTAGAAAATTAGCAGCATTATGTGAACAACTAACCATTCCACTAGGAGCTGGACACTGAGAATGATGTGTTGTACCAAAATCCATCCTTCCTAAAACAAACAGGTTATTATAAACACAAAGTTTAACCTAGACAAAACTTGAGCAATTTTTAAATCAAAAAAGTTACTATTTCTACTTAACAAAGTTCAGACAGTTAATTATAAGTTTCAGACGTTGCTGAAGATAATATAAGTTCATAAACTAACAAACGATCGAGGAGGACTTGGGCTGCGTTGTTTACTTATTTGCAAGGTTAGCTGCGACAGTACTAGCTACTTTTTACAAGTTTTAATACACTTACCTTTAAAAAAAGAAAACTCTGGGTCTTGGTTAGTTTTTACAGTTTAAACAGCGCAAACAGCAAGGCGAAGACAAGCGAACAACGGAACCAGCAGCAGGTGAATTTTGACGATCTTTAAACATCTAATTTGAGAAAAAAAATCTGACGTTGACGTCGCTGCGTCACTCCGCCACTCGGGGGCGCCCTGCAGCCAACAGCTGTATTAATAAGAACAGACGCCTTGATAGACTGTAAAAAAAAACACCTAATAAAGAAATAATACATTGAGTGAGATAAATTTCTAAAACAGGGGATCATATATACTTGTTTCCCTGCTTCCAATACACCTGATTCAATGATTTAATTACCTTTTCAAGCTCAGCATTTTAATTATCCATTTATTACAGTCARGTGGGTTGAGGCAGAGAAAAAACATGCAGGATGGTGGACCGGACACCTCTGATATGGATCAATCTACAAGGTAATTAAATATTGCAAAGACCGAAGTCTGGAAAAAAAACCTAAGTATTTTTAATTAAACCATCTTTGTTCCTGTTTTCACCATTTTTCTTTTCCAATTTAGCATAGTTTCAGTTTCAGTATTGATTAATCTTTTAGCCGTTTATCTTGTCTTACCTAATTTTTATATTGTTTCAATGAGTTTTATTTTGTCTTAATGTGTTTATACCTGATATTATCTTGTCTAATTATTTTTTATCTCATATATCATTGTGCTCTTGGTACGATGACAATAATCGAATCGAATCKAATCTAATCTGATTTTATTGTGTTATTCTGATATTGTTTTTAAGATAAGAGTTGTATTTATTTTTTTGCTCTGAGCACTTGGTCATTTTTAAATCATGTTGCATCTACTGTATGTCCATGTTTTACAGAGTGTCTTGTGTTTAGGAAACTGACTCATCATGGTAATCAAATCTACCTGCAGGTAAAGTTGATTGATTGATTGAAGTCCTGCAGTGCATAGCTCTGGTCAGGTGCTATTGGTAATTTTTTTTTTGTTTGTTTTTATCTAGGTGAAATGCAATATATACAGTATAGCATGGTTTTCACCTAGTGTTATGATCATAACTGGTCTGATWAGCAAGATAAATGTACTTCTCTGATCTGCAACAGAAACACAATCGCAGTTTGACTTCCAACTTCAGAAGAAGAAAAAAAGTAAAAAAAAAAAAAAACAACAACAGACACTTCATGGTTGCTAATGCTAAACACATGTTGGTCATCTACTTTTCATCCATTTACTTTCCCCACTTCCCTATTTTCTGAGTTTTGGGGAGCTGGTGCCATATGTCCAACTCACTGTGCAAGATCCTGAACGGGTCTTCATCCCATCACAGGGCTWCAAATCACATCTGTAGGAACAACGTAGACCACATGTGTCAAACTCAAGGCCACATCTGAGGTGACTCCCGTGTGGTCCGCGAGGGGAAAAAATCAACTTAACATGAAAATTTTTTTCTTATATTGATGGTAAACTTTAAATTTATGATTAAATGCAACAAAATACATTTAAAAGGTGGAAGATAATAACAACTGCCCTGCCTCTGAGCTTGTTGGCTTTAAGTAACTGAGCAGTTTAGTTGGATAGCACAGTGTTAATGTGTGAAAATAAGCTGCTTTAAAGTCAGCATCAACCATAAATTAATCTACCATAATGCCTATTAGCTCCTCACTATAAACTCATCAGTGAGTAAAACTTTATTAGTTTTACTTTAAATAATATTTCTGTATTTATTTCAGATTTATTCAGTTGTACACTTAGTTAGTTAGTTACTTAGTTCTTATCAGTGTTTAAAAGAGGACGTGTTAAAACACTGTTTAGTCAAAGTTAAACATGAAACATCAAAGATCATTACAACTGGCTCTTCGATGGCCACCATAACGCTGTGGCCCTCGGTGAAAATGAGTTTGACACCTCTGATGTAACACGCACGTTGATCTGTGGGAGGAAACCGGAGTACTTAAAGAAAGCCCACAAGAGAACGGAAAGAACACACAAACTCCACACRGAAATGTGTAGACCATGCCACCATCATTTTGATCAATAAGAGGCAATTTGTAGAAGAACATAGAAGAAACAACAGGTGTTCGTTAGCAGGAGTTTAAGATGAAGAACAGACAGAAAAGACTAATGACACAAACCTGAGTAAAACTCAACGCAATACTTTCACAGCTGAAGTGTGTGTGTGTGTGTGTGTGTGTGTGTGTGTGTGTGTGTGTGTGTGTGTGTGTGTGTGTGTGTGTGTGTGTGTGGGTGAGGAGGAGGAGGAGACTCATGGCTGCAGG